CCAGACACCTGCCCAGGTGTTTGACGTCGATCTGCTCCTGCTTCATGCACGAAGCTTCTCGGACCAGACAGGGGTTGTTGTAGGCAGTCCCGTCAGTCGCACACACCGGGTTCTCGTTGTGACCGCTGCAGTCGATGTTACAGATGCACCTGAGGTCAGAGGTCAAACGTCAACCAGGGCTGCAGGCTGACCCTGGATCTGCTGCTCGGTTAGCTTAGCAGCTACATTTCATGTTTGAATGCATCACAAACAGCTCTTTATGCTAAGCTAAGCAGTGAGCTTCCAGTGGAATCAACAAACATTCCCAAACTGGTCTGTTCTTGTTTACGTCCGGTGACTTTTTCATCACAATAAGCAGATATTCATGAACCCGATGCTCACCAGACGTCCTCGGAGTCCTCATCACACTCAGCTCCATATTTACACGTGCTGCACTTGGTGAACTTCTTCCCAACGTCGGAGCCTGAACCTTCATCGTCTGTCGGGGGAAACAGAAGGAAGAACGCGTTTCAGGGATCAAATATCAGATTTTTTTCTTCACTGATCATAAAAGCTTTAGCTCCAACGGGACTGATTTATGTCTGAAGTCCAGCTTCAGATGAACCTCCTGACGCGTTGTCCTCTGAGCTCTAAAACATGTAATGGAAACTGGATCAGCTGTTAAAAACAAAAACAAACATGCAGCTTTGTTGAAAGATGGAAAGAGAAGAAAGATCTCTGGACTCTGAGCTGGTGGAGACGGAGTTGTCTCGCTGCGTCTCAGAGGACGGAGGACGTCTCTAAACCACTTCACACACACTGACGGGAAGAGACAGCAAAGCATGATGGGAAAACAACATATTTATTAAGGTGTGGCGCCAATGGAGGGAAATCAAACAGAGAACTGTTCTGGAGGCTTCTGTGTTCCTCTGTGGCTCGACTTGAGTGGGCTAAAACAACAACAACAACAACAACAATTAGTACCTTATCTCTCAGGGGAGACTATTGCACACTGCATCTTTGGTAATGATTATATAAATCAGAGCTACATGAGAATCAGAAATCGGTATTGGCTCTCAAAAATCGGTATTGGCTCTCTAAACCAGAATAGATGCAACTCTGGTCTTCATGGAGTCAGGATCGCCAAGGTAAAAGAAGCTGAGTTATTCTTTCATGTTTTTGTAATCTACCAAAACTTCTGCTGCTTCCTTGTTTCTCTACAAGAATAAAACTTTTTCTGGCTTTGAAGCCATTTTAGATTCTGATGAGAGATGCTTTTACCTTCTTTATCTGATAACACGGAGCCTCTGAGGGCAGAAAGTTGAAGGAATGAACAAAAGAAACCTTTGAGAGTAAAAATGGATTTTTGTGAAGAGAAGTCTTTATTCACCTGTGATGTTTTTCATGTTCAGCCATAATCACGGCATTTAATTTAACCTTGTCTGTTTCTGCTCCGCCGGCTGAGGAACTTTTTATTTTCAGATCTTCATCCCTGAGCAACATAATCAGCTTTTATCTTCTTCACTGGCCCGGCTCTCTGCAGAGGAGAGAATTGATTTGATTTTCCAAACAACCTCCAGCTCACGAGGCTTTTTGTTTCAGCAAGCGGCTGCACGCCGACGGCGCCCTTTTCCCATCAACACGACATGGCTCACCCGCTTTTCTATCAGACACAGCTGAGAGTGTGAGGAGGCTCCTGAAGCTTATCGGCCAAATGGAAACAGAGGCGACGCATTATCATCTTATGATTTTGTTATTATCATTACAGGGGATGCGTTTAATGCCATCTCGCATGATGACGTCCATTCTCCAGCGGCGCTCGGAACAGATGAGCTGCTAACAGCCATGACACCAAATATCAAAGAGCCGCAGGGATTATTCAAAGCTGCCTTTCATCAGCGCGGCCATTTTCATGATTCATCAAGTGCAATTCAGTGGTAAAATAGAGGAAAAAGCTCCGTCCTGCAGGGTGAAGAAAATTAATCCACAGGAGGTGAAACAGGAGCCTCAAGACTTCAAACTTCTGATCAACATTAAAATTTTACTTCTCACAAAAGTCTGACAGGAAAATTATGGAGATGATTAAAATCTGGCTTTTAAACATTCTAAACTATTTATTAATACAACAATTATAATTATGTGTACTTAAATTTTATCATGTAATTCTCTATTAGTCATAAATAAATAAATAAAACTGGCAGCAGACATGCAGCTGCAGACCTGCAGCAGCAGATCTGCAGCAGCGGACCTGTAGCAGCAGACATGCAGCAACAGACCTGCAGCAGCAGCAGCGGACCTGTAGCAGCAGACCTGTAGCAGCAGACCTGCAGCAGCAGATCTGCAGCAGCGGACCTGTAGCAGCAGACCTGTGGCAGCAGACCTGCAGCAGCAGCCCTGCAGCAGCAGACATGCAGCAGCAGACCTGCAGCAGCAGATCTGCAGCAGTGGACCTGTAGCAGCAGACATGCAGCAGCAGACCTGCAGCAGCAGATCTGCAGCAGCGGACCTGTAGCAGCAGACATGCAGCAGCAGACCTGCAGCAGCAGATCTGCAGCAGCGGACCTGTAGCAGCAGACCTGTAGCAGCAGACATGCAGCAGCAGACCTGCAGCAGCAGATCTGCAGCAGCGGACCTGTAGCAGCAGACATGCAGCTTAAAGACTCCTCATGTGGAGCTGATGGGAGAAAAGGATTGGATGTTAAACCAGAAATGCTGAGCCGGAATTCCCCTGAGATTATTATGGTGAATAAACCTGCAGGAACACCGATATGATGGATGATGTTCTGAGACTGGGAATTTCATAAAAATAAACCAATAATCCTTGAAAAAAAGAAAGGAGTCCCTACAGGAGCACCGCTGCAGACATGAGGAGCGCTTGTGTCAGAACAGAAAAACTTTCATATTAGATTATTTATTAATTATTATCATTGTTATGAGTTTTTATTTCTTTGATCACAGCTAATTTCATGTTTTACCTGAAAAATGAGAGAATCAGAGGAGCTTTTTTGTTTTATACCCAAATATCTGCTGAGACCTGGCTAAAATACTGTGTGAAGACGATATTTCAGTGTGTGTGTGTGTGTGTGTGTGTGTGTGTGTGTGTGTGTTCCTGCCGACTAACAGATTGGCCTGCTGCGCACGGATGTATCGAGCATGGAGAGCTCAGTCGGCACTCAGAGGCTGTTGATCGATTGGCGAGGATCAGCAGCAGAAAGGCGTCTTTGTTTCATGTTGACTTAGCCCCCCCAACACACACACACACACACACACACACACACACACACACACACACACACACGCACGCACGCACGCACACACACACACACACACACACACACCCTAGCATCTCCACTCATATCTGACGCATCAGTGAATGAATTTTTTAACCTTTTGTTTTGAATTAATTTAGTAATTATTTTTCTGTGTTTTTGTAGAAAAACATCTGAGTCGGTTTAACATCAGTTCAGGACTCTGTCTCACCAAGCACTTCCTGTCAGAGTCTGTAACCATGGCAACAGATGCTGAAAATTAAAGAGCAACATCTTTACTTTAACAATCAAACTTTTGAGACAACACAACAATTAAACATTGATGTGACGTTTATTTTTCTATCAATCCCAAAATAACTCCGAGCACCACGGCTGAAACTTGTACAGCACCTTTTTAGGGTTCTACAACCCCCCAAGGCACTTTACAACACAATAAGTCAACCACCCGTTCACACACTGGTGGGGATGAGCTACAATGTAGCCACAGCTGCCCTGGGACACACTGACAGAAGCGAGGCTGCCGAGCACAGGCGCCACCGGTCCCTCCGACCACCACCAGCAGGCAGGGGAGGGTTAAGTATCTTCCCCAAGGACACAACAGCAGCATTCTCTGGTCGCAGCAACCTTTGGATTACTGGACAACCCGCTCTACCTCCTGAGCTGCTGCTGTCCACATGTTTCATCCGTGTCCACATCAATGTTTTTAAAAAATAAACAAAAAATGTATTTTGCAACTTTTCAAAAATGTAAATCTTTTTCTTGAGCCAGTATGTGCTAAAATGAGCCGTTACAGGGTTGCAGAAACTCAATCAGACCCCACCGCCCCCTGTGGCCAGAATACCGCACTTGCAACTTTAGAGTGCCGGTCCCGGTAACGTGGAGCTGACATGTCAGAGCTGCAGGTTTCAGATCATGAACACAGCTGCAAAGATGCATTAGGTCACATTTTAGAGCAATGATGACATAAAAGTAGATTTACTGAGTCAGACAGAATATTAGAAATGTTTATGAGTTATGTGCAGTTATTATTATTCTTATTGATAGAAATTAAACATGCTGATTTTATTGTTGCTGTTTGTCACAAAGACCTGAATTTACCGAGTTCCTGTTTGAGTCGGAAATAAAAAAGAGCTTTTCTTTCACAAGAAAAATTCAGGATTATCAGTGAAACTATCGTTTATCATCCGTTCCTGGGAAGCGTGTCAGACAGTTTTATGAATATTTCCTGTGGTTTAACCGCAATCCATGTCTCAGCTGATCTGAGTAAAGGGAAAACAGTAAGATGGAAGTGCTTCCTCCTGAGGAAGAGGAGAGACTGATGAAGACTACCAGTCCCTGATCTTCTGATTTCTGACCTTGTTCTTCATTGAGACCTGCAGCTCTTATGTTAATGAGCTGTAGCTCCCACACCAGGCTGGTGCAGCTGAAGGAGCAGAATCGGGGAGGAAAGATAGATCTACCTGCTGCAGGATGTTGGTGGACTCACCTGGAAGTCCCTGAACCTGAACGCCTCCTAAAGCTGCCTCTCCTTAAAACTCACAGGAGGTGAACGGAGAACAGTTCCAGCGTTACAGGAGCCCGGACCACTCTGTGATGCAGCGACTGGAGAACAAGTCCCTGAGACTCGTGAAGGGAAACTCAAATCCTCTTTAGACTTGTTCCCAAATCGCGTAAGTGGTGAGTTCCTCTGTGATAGGGATGTCAGGAGCGGTTATCGGCGTTCCCATTTTCTCCTCCAGACTTTTAGGAAAC